TGGAGGTACTCCCAAAGCCTTTGCAGAAGGTTTCTGGGGAGGGCTGCCTTATTTCATCCTCCACGGTAGGACACTTTACCACGCCAAGCCAGTAGCAAGTAGTCTGGAATCACTGCATGGCAACGAATGGTCCTGGGTTTTGGTCGCATTCAAGCAACATTCGGTCTATATCTTTCTGTGTTAGCCTCAACAGAGTGACCATTCATGGTCACCTGGTTGAAATAGGGGAATTTTTGTAAGAGAACAGTAAAAGGACCCCGTTCATGCTGGGCTGTTTACGCTTGGCTAAAAGGGATCATCCCAGAGAATAGCCACGCGGCGCGGGGGGAGGGGTGAAGGGATCATCCCAGAGAATAGCCACGCAGCGGGGGGAGGGGAGAAGGGATAATCCCAGAGAATAGCCACGCGGGGGGTTGGGGGTAGGTGTGTGCTGCACATCCACCCGAAAACCGCAGCCTCTCCTTTTAAATGTGAAACCCAACCCATTGCTTGCTCTGGGAAAGGAGGGCACTGCAGTTTGAAAACATTCCCACATGTTATGAAGGCGTAAGAAGCCAACCCCGCGTACCAAAAGGCTTACCATGCCTGCCTGGAAAGCGAATTCTGTTGCCCAGCCATGTGTGATGTGTCACCATACCGGCAGGCGCTCAATATAAAAGGCAAAATACGACCTTGTACCTAAAGCACATGTGCTGTCTGCTGTGAATTGCTTGATTCACTGTGAAAGAGTCTCCCTTTTGTTCTCAGAAATGTATCATCTTAAATTTTACTCTCCCTTTTTATCTTCCCCCAGATGCAAATGTTTCCACGCTCCCCTATCATCTCCGTCCCTGAGGTTATCGCAGATTAGAAGGCGAAAAAAACACACGCGCGATGACATGTTTTCCGAGCTCATGCAGTCCTCCCGCACTGATAGGGCACAGCTTAATGCATGGAGGCATTCAGTGGCAGAGGCCAGGAAAGAATTAAATGAGCACGAAGAGCGGAGGCAGGACGTGACGCTGAGGCTAATGGGGGAGCAAACGGACATGATGAAGCGTCTGTTGGAGCTGCAGGAAGGCCAACAAGAGCACAGACCCCCACTGCATCCACTATATAACCACATGCCCTCCTCCCCAAGTTCCATATCCGCCTCACCCAGATGCCCAAGAACGTAGGGAGGGAGGCTTTGGGCACCCAGCCACTCCACTCCAGAGGATGGCCCAAGCAACAAAAGGCTATCATTCAAACAGTTTGATTTTTAGTGTGGCTACAATAAACAATGTGGCCTTGTCCTTCCCTCCTCCCCCACCCCACCCGGGCTACATTGTCCGTTATCTCATTTTTTTTTAATTAATAAAGAAAGAATGCATGGTTTCAAAACAATAGTTACTTTATTTCGAAGGGGGGAGGGTGGTTGGCTTACAGGGAATTAAAATCAACAAAGGGGGCGGGTTTGCATCAAGGAGAAAAACACACAACTGTCACAGCGAAGCCTGGCCAGTCATGAAGCTGGTTTTCAAAGCCCCTCTGATGCGCAGCACGCCTTGCTGTGCTCTTCTAATCGCCCTGGTGTCTGGCTGCTCAAAATCGGACACCAGGTGATTTGCCTCAACCTCCCACCCCACCATAAACGTCTCCCCCTTACTCTCACAGATATGGAGCACACAGCAAGCAGCAATAACAATGGGAATGTTGTTTGCGCTGAGGTCTAACCTACTCAGCAAGCAGCGCCAGCAAGCTTTTAAACGTCCAAAGGCACATTCTACCACCATTCTGCACTTGCTCAGACTATAGTTGAACTGCTCCTTACTACTATCCAGGCTGCCTGTGTATGGCTTCATGATCCATGGGAGCAAGGGGTATTCTGGGTCCCCAAGGATAACTATGGGCATTTCAACATCCCCAACGGTAATTTTCTGGTCTGGGAAGTAAGTCCCTTCTTGCAGCTGCTCGAACAGCCCGGAGTTCCTAAATATGTGAGCGTCATGCACCTTTCCTGGCCACCCAACATTGATGTCTGTGAAACATCCCTTGTGATCCACCAGTGCTTGCAGCACCATTGAGAAGTACCCCTTGCGGTTCACGTACTGGTTGGCAAGGTGGTCCGGTGCCAAGATGGGGATATGCATTCCGTCTATCGCCCCACCACATTTAGGGAACCCCATTGCAGCAAAGCCATCCAGTATGACCTGCACATTTCCCAGAGTCACTACTCTTGATAACAGAACGTCAATGATTGCATTGGCTACTTGGATCACAGCAGCCCCCATAGTAGACTTGCCCACTCCAAATTGATTCCCGACTGACCGGTAGCAGTCAGGCGTTGCAAGCTTCCACAGGGCTATCACCACTCGCTTCTCAACTGTCAGGGCAGCTCTCATCTTGGTATTCCTGTGCTTCAGGCTTGGGGAAAGCAACTCACAGAGTTCCAGGAAAGTGCCTTATGCATGCGAAAGTTTCGCAGCCACTGTGAATCATCCCATACCCGCAACACTATGCGGTCCCACCAGTCTGTGCTTGTTTGCCTGGCCCAGAATCGGCGTTCCACTGTATCAACCAGCCCCACTTTCAGGAACATCTGTGTCCATGTCCTCATCAAAATCCACCTCGTGCTGGCGTCTCTTAGCCCGGTTCTGCATATACTCCAGGATAATGCATGAGGTGTTTACAATGCTCACAACAGCAGCGGTGACAGTGAGCTGAGCAGGCTCCATGCTTGCCATGGTATGGCGTCTGCATGGGTCACCCAGGAAAAAAGGCGTGAAAGGATTGTCTGCCATTGCTTTCACGGAAGGAGGGGCGACTGACGACATGTACTCAAAACCACCCGCAACAATGTTTTTTGCCCCATGAGGCATTGGGAGCTTAACCCAGAATTCCAAGAGACTGCAGGAACTGTGGGATAGCTACCCACAGTGCACCTCTCTGTAAGTCGATGCTAGCCACGGTAGTGAGGACACACTCAGCCGACTTAATGCGCTTAGTGGGGACATACGCAATTGACTGTATAAAATCAATTTCTAAAAATCAACTTCTATAAAAACAACCTAATTTCGTAGTGTAGACATACCCTTCCTCTGCTCAGTCACAGACAATGGGTGAGAGCCTAAGGCTCTTGAGCTTGTCTCTGCACAAAGTGGCACTGCTTTAACTATATTGGTAGAGTTAGTTATACAATCCACCTAGTTTGGACACCGTTATACTGGTATAAAAGGTGCTCATATAAGCATGGCTTATTTTGGTATAGAAATGGGAATAAGTTATACTGGCATAGGGCACCTACATACTGATATAATTGCACCAACACTAGGAGTTGTATTGTTTTAACCATTTCAAGAAAAAAAAATTACACCCTAACCAGCATATCACTACAAAAACTGTTTAGACCAGACCCCCTTCATACAAAGGGAGTTTTGCCTGAGTTAAGTGGTTTAGAAAGCATGGCTCCAGAAGAGCACATTTAAAGCTTAGCTGGCAGAAGAGATAAGGGAGGCCCAAACTACTCTCTGGTAAGAAAAGATAAAAAAGGAGAAGTAGAAAAGAAGGCAAGCTTATCATGCTCCTTTGAGCATTAAAATGGTCCCTGATCCCTCCTGCATGATTTCAAAACACAGTCCTTCAGGAAACTAAAGTTGCAAACATATTTCTGAGCCCCATGGAGGAACTCAAAGTACATTACTTCTACTGCTTCCACTGACGTATGTGAAGTTACTCCAGAGTTACTGGACACTGGGGTTAACAAGAACAGAATTTGGCCCTTAGCTAAAAGTCTGTAGTCATGGTTCAGATCCTCAAAGGTATTTAGGCACCTAAATCCCATCGATTTCAGTGTTGGATGCCTAAATACTTTGAGGATCTGGGCCTAAGGACCCATGTAGTGCTGTAAATATTAATACAAAACACAACAACCATTCAAAAGAAGCAGAGAATAGAATGTTGAACTCAGAAAGTTCCATGGCATTTAGAATCCAACGATTGGTGTTTGGCATTTGGGGCTTTTATAGCCATCTGCCTGGATCCTCAGTGCACAGTGGGTGGGTTATGAGCCCGGGTGAAAGCAGCACCTGGGCATTAGCCTACAGCCCCAGGCCGGCGGGGCTTGAAAGCACCATTAAACTCAGGTGAGAGGCTTTAATTGTGTGTAGACAGGATGGGGGTTGGGGGCAACACCTAAGTTAACTCAGCAGAGAAGAAATGAGAGACTGGTTAGCAAGGGGAGGGTGCAGTAGGAATGTGAGGGACAGCTGATGGTGGATGAGAATCAGTTTCCGTAGAAAAGGAAAGAAAAGAGAAGTAAAGTCTTCCCTCCCCCATCTAGTTATAATGAGAGGTTGAGTCCCACCTCTCCCATGTCTGTCCTAGGAGCAGGTTTCCGTGGAACATGCCAGCCTGAGCCAGGCACAGCTGGGCTGAACTGGGTTTGCAGTTTCATAGGCTGTGACATCCCAGCAATAGCACTGCTGGCTTTGCTCAGGTGCCCGTGGACTGGCACCACTGTCTAGGGTGGGCAAGCACAGGTTCTGCAGATGCAGCCTGAGTAAGGCATTGCAGAACTGGGCTTGCACAGGCTACTGTAGAGTGTGCCCGCAGCCAGCCTGGATCAGGCATTGCAGGGCTCAGCTGGGTTTGCACAGGTTCCTGTAGAAGGCACCACCTGCCCACACATTTCAGGGCAGGGTTGAGTTTGCTCAGTCGACCGGGAGGATGTTCCAGCCTAGGCTGGACAGGGCTTGCTCATACTCCCATTTCCTTCGGCCCCATTAGCTACACCCCCCACGTGCTTTCCCCTTGCACACCGTGTCTCCTCTGCAACTTAAAGGAGTCCCAGTGCGCAGCGCTTTCCAGCAGCCCCTGCTGAAGTGATTCCGCTTGTCCCCATTCCGGACCGATTTCTCCCTCGCTGGCCCCTAGCCAATATGTCACCCTCTCGCTTCACCCTTTCAGCCCGCCCTTGCTTCTATCAGACGCCTGTGAAGGGGGCGGCGCCTCGCTGGCAGTAGGAGTTGTGTAAGGGGAGAGTGAGAGCAGCACATTGATACGCTGGAGCTGGAGAGTTGGTTGTGTAAGCAGGATCTGCAGGGAACTACAGAGGGGTAAGCAAAGATCTCGCCCCTCCTCGGTTAACTAAAGAGGGTGGCAGCGTTAATTCAGCCCCGTTCACATCATTAGGATGCTGGGGGTTGTTGCTGGTTCATTATGCCGTTCCTCCACCCTCCCCAAAATTGTTTGCCATTGCCACCATATAGTGTTCCATGTTTGGGTTTTTGGATGGGAGGATAAGAGGCTATTCGTGTAGCTCATGCTGCTTATTTTATCCCAGCCACCAAAACATGAGCACTTAGCAATTCAAAGGGCTAAAACCAGAGCTCTGAACTTTGTGATCCTCATGCACACTGCAACAATGAAACCAAAAAACACAGGCTAATTTTAAAAAAGGGTAGAGAGTAAGCTTGGTTGGAAAAACTGAGATCCAGTGCCCTCTGGAAATGGAAAGGAATATTATCTTTAATCGTAGTTAATAGTTTAAAAGAGTGCATCATACAGAAGGAGTGGAGTTTGGTTTAGGAGTTAGAATAGGATGTGCTGAGTCAAGTTTCCTGGATTCTATTCCTCTTAGTAGCATCTGATCTTGGCCACAGAGTTGCTAAGCTCCCAGAAATCCCTTGAAGTCAGAGGCAACTGCAGGTGCTTAGCATATGTAAAAATCAGACAAATTAACCTTACTGCCTCTCTACTTACTCATATGTAAAATGGGGAAATAATACTACCCTGTCTAAGTCTTGTGAGGCTTAACTTATTTTGTGAAGCACTGAGAGATCGTCAGATGAAAAGCCGCCTGGCTGTGTGAAGTGTGGTTCTGTTATTACATTCTCAAACTTAAGTAGAATGTAGAAAGAATATACACAGGCATTTTTATATTGATTTACACTTTGGTTGATGCTTTCACTCAAGAATCTCAAAGTATGCCACAAAACATTAATAAATGAAGGTTTACAACATGTCTGTGAAGGCAGCTGCCCAATTTACACAGGAACAAAGTGAGGCACAGAGACATTAAATACCATGCTTGACATCACACGGGAAGTCTTTGATAGAGTCAGTAACAGAATACAGACCTAGTTCTCAGTCTTACGCTTTAGTCACAAGATCTTCCTCCCCTTTTTTAAAAAATACATTAAATGGCTAAAATTCAAAGACTTCATAAAAATCAGATTTAAATAACTCAATTTAGTTAGCAAAAAATGTACCATTTTGCTTCTACTTTATATTTAAATTGAGAGAGGTGGTACATGCCCTCACAGTGTGTGCTTTCACCACCACCAACATCCATCCCAGGTTACAGTGTAAGGCCCTGCCCCTTCAAATGCTTACACACAAGAGTAGCGAGTCCCATTGACTTCAATGAGATTACTTGCATGCACAGTTTTGCAGGACTGAGGCCTACATAATTTTTTTTCTGGACTACCTTTGGAAGAGATAAAGGAAAAGTCTTTATTTTCTCTGGTTACACAGGTTATGTAAGTGTTATATTCAGAACTTTGATTTTGGGTTGTTGCCTCTTTAGAGGCAGGAAACATGGAGACTGAGAGCCTTTGTGAAATATCCCAAGGGCCAAACTAGATAACTGCGCTTTACCTTAGCAGCTGTCCAAAACTAGATAGCTAATTAGTATTAATAGAGCCAATAGCTTATTGAACAGATTGTCAACAGGTAAGAAAGGCAGAAGACAGCACTATAATATGAAACTTGCAGTACTACTGCACTAGCTCACCTCATTTAGTGCCAGATTAATATCCTGATGCCAGGAGAGCCAGTGGGTGTTGCAGGTGCCCTGTCCTGCTTCTATGTTATAGATGCTAACACTGAACAGCACAAATGCCAAGATCAATATATATGGGTTTGCATATCTTTTTGGTGTGCTCAGATAAATATGGTGGAAAAAGGAAATAAATTGACTCTTTATTTCACACATCAGGAATACAGAGTTATAACCCACACAAAGTAAAAAGCAACAGATAACACATTATAAAATTGTAGCCAGAGAACTAACCAACAGAATTAAAAAATCAAAGTTACTAAAAATGTTATACAACACGGACTATGTCTAGGGCCCTACCAAGTTCACGGTCCATTTTGGTCAATTTCACGGACCTAGGATTTTAAAAATAATAAATGTCATTATTTCAGTTATTTAAATCTGAAATTTCATGGTGGTGTAATTGTAAGGGTCCTGACCCAAAAAGGAGTTGGGGGGGGTCACAGGGTTATTGTAGGGGGGGTTGCGGTACTGCTACCCCTTACTTCTGCACTGCCTCTGGCAATGGCGCTGCCATCAGAGCTGGGCAGCTGGAGAGCGGTGGCTGCTGGCCGAGATCCCAGCTCTGAAGGCAGCGCCGTCACCAGCAGCAGCGCCGAAGTAAGGATGGCATGGTATGGTATTGCCACCCTTACTTCTGTGCTGCTGCTGCCAGGGTTCTGCCTTCAGAGCTGGGTGCCCAGCCAACAGGAGCCGCTCTCTAGCCACCCAGCTCTGAAGGCAGAAGTAAGAGTGACAATACCGCGACCCTCCTAAAATAACTTTGCAACCGCCCCCTGCAACTCCTTTTTGTATCAGGACCCCCAATTTGAGAAATGCTGGTCTCCCCCATGAAATCTGTGTAGTATAGGGTAAAAGCACACAAAAGACCAGATTTCATGGTTTGTGGCACGTTTTTCATGGCCATGAATTTGGCAGCGCCCAAACTATGTCATTCTTTGACATATGTATAGAGCAGTGGTTCTCAACCCATGGCAGCTTGCAGCCCAATCAGCACACGGCTGCGGCCCATGTGACAGCCTCCAGGCCATACAGATAGTATATATATTGTGTGGATGTGGCCCGCATAACACATGGAGAGCTGTATATGTGGCCCACGATGGCAAATAGGTTGAGAACCACTGGTGTAGAGTGCCAACGTGCTAGAGCTTCTCAACATAACAGTTATATGAGGTTGTTGTTGGTTTTTAACATGAGCAGAACAATATATTTTTCCCTAACTACCTTCCTGGAACTGGCTGAAGTATTTTAGCTGAAAACTTCCCTAAAAGACTCCACCTGAGGCAGACACCCAGCACAGAAAGTTTTAGCCCAAGTGATTTAAGTTGTAAGCAACTGCAAACAGGATCTTATAATGTGAAGAGTCAGACAACCTTAACCATAGGCATCACTGCCTATAATATTTATTAATTTACCATTAAAATTACCTTTACTTTGGGACAGGGAAACTTCCTTTCCACTTGAGAGCAAGTCTGTTTGGGAACTTGCCTTGTTCATGTTCACGTGTGATTGGTTTCCAAATTAATTTCTTTTTCCTAGACCAGCCCTAGTAGCTTCTTTAAGAGATGAATCCAGAGAATGTTTGGGATCAACAGGAGGCTTCAGTAGGGAATTGTTTTGGTACATGCTATTCCTAGAGGAGGGGCAGAGCACATTGCATGGAACCACTAAGAAGAATCTCTTTTCTTTCCTTCTTTCTTTTTCTTACCTTTTCTGCTTATTTTCCTGTTAATTACTACTTTCAAAATTGCATATTGCAGATATGTGTTTTCCACTGTAGCTTAGAAGACCTAAGGCAATTAAAAGCCTATTATTCAGCAATTAAGGATCAAGCCTTAAATTCCAAGGCATGTGGTCAGGCGTTAAGGCCCTACATTTACAATTTATTTGTAATGGGTTTTGTAGAAAAAATATGAAACTGACCAGTCTGGTCTCATTTTTTCAGTGGAATGAATTTTTTTTAAAAAGGCAAATACAATGAAGAATAAATTAGATTTTAAAAAATTGTTTTTCTAAGAATACAGGGAAAGGAATTTCTATTTTTAAATATATATCTGTTTTAACCAAATAGTTCAGCCAACCTAAGGCATGTTTAATGTGCCCATGGTAATTAACTACACATTAAGTTCCAAATTAAGGGTTGCACATGTCTGTAAAGAACCCTGTCCTCTACCACTTCTTTGCTCAGTTGGTGTTCTGTCTTTAGATGTTGTTTTCACTTTAAAATAATCTCTTCCTTTCCTCATAGGGGTTTTATTTTTGTTCCTGCTGTTCTCTTCCTCCTCTCTCCCTTGCCCCCCCCCATGGATGAAAAGCTATAGGGGAGATTATAAGATTGTTAAAGGAAAGAAAACCCAAGAAACCTAGAGTAACAACAGAGGAGCTAAAGGTGCGGTGCAGGATATAAGGTGCTTTATGGACAAACATAGGCCCCAGTCCTCCAAGCTGATCCACTGAAGGAGATGGGGCTCCATGCAGGCATCTGGTGCGTGGATCCTGTTACAGGATCAAAGCCTTAGTACTGCCATTATTCTGGTATTTAAACAATTTTCCACGGACTCCAGTAGGCATAGGCACCGATTCCATGGGTGCTTCATGGATGGAGCACTCATGGGGGAAAAAAATGGTGGGTGCTTAGCACCCACCAGCAGCCCCCCATCAGCTCCTCTCCAGTGGCCCCGCCGATCAGCTCCCCCCGCCCACCGCGATCAGCTGTTCCGTGACGTGCGGGAGGCACTGGGGGGACGAGGGGGCAGGAAGAGGCAGGGTGGGGATGGGGCCTTTGAAGAAGGGGTGAAGTGGGGGTGGGGCCTGGGGCAGAGTCAGGGAGAGCACCCCCCAGCACATTAAAAAGTCTGTACCTCTGCCAGTAGGACATAGCAATATAGGAATGGGATTGGAGGACTTTTAATTTGGCATTTGGTGGTGGATTTAGAAACCACTCTGGTTTGCTCTTTTACTTTTCATCAAGCTAACTTGTTGACATTTCTCAGAAGTATTCACTTTCCACTTAGCTGAAAGAGTGAACAATATGACTTTATGAATCAGCAGAATTCTTTTTTATGCTCACTCTTAAGGGCACGTCAATATGTAGAGGACAGACTTTTCATACGAAGTAAATCACAGGTTCATAGAAATTAGAGATGGAAAAGGCTAATTAAATCATCACCTCTATGTCCTTATTAATTACTTCTAGAGTGCCGGAAGTATGTAAGGCTCTTTACAGACAAGTATAAAGACAAACTCTCGTCCATGAAGAGCTCAGAAGCTAGACAG